AGGAGCTCTAAACATTGAACTACTTCAGTAAAGCGTTACCCCCATTCCTCTGGGTTGGCACATCGCTTTTATGAGTTATATGCATCGCCTCAAGCGATCTGACTCGATGCTTAATCGCCTCCGCTCATGATCATCTTCGTGGCGTCTTCTCTGATTCCCTCCTGGCTCGTAGATCTTCGGGACTGAGCGGCCACCGGACGAAGATTATTTTAAAGTCTTTGCTGAGAATTTCGGTTTTTCCTCGGCAGTGAACACTCGAATATCCGCGAATTTTCTTTTTCCGTGAACGAAAATTCAATATCATCCTAAACAAAACCATGAGCTGTATTAGCTGCGAAATTGTTGTGATATAGAAAGTGATTTGTAAGCTGTTCTGGCAGCTCGGCTCTACTTTATCCATGCTACGTAGCAAAGCTCATCAGCAATCATCTGTATTGATATAAGCTGGTTAGGCAAAGATTGACTGATGTGTAGATTATCTGGCACCGAATGTTAAGCTGATTCACTAGCAAATATGTATGGCATTTCCTAAGATTTCTCGGATTTCTACAGAATAGCAATGTGGTGACCTGACGATGTCCCTGTTGAAACTCGGTCTCGCTGAAGGTGATTAGTGGTCGGATTTGCTTACAATGAGTTTGTACCTCGCTTGGCCATCAAATCCATCGTCACAGGCCTAAGCGCTATCCAATCTTCGACTGGATCCGGTTCTGAGCGGTTAAGTTCCTGTTGTTCAAGTTCGAAGTGATCCCCAGCTGATATGGAAGTCGAGAATGTCTTGCTTGAGTTCATTACTCTTTTCTCTTTATCCAGCCCTTTCTGAAGAGTTCCTTCTATTCCCATCTTTCTAGTTCGTTTTACTTCGCATTAAGATTTCTTCGTCGAGCTCTTCGCTCCTTGTCGAGCAATCTGATGGCAGCTGAACGACTATGGAGCGATGGGGAACTTGAATAGTTTGGGTCGGTCGGTCGGGAATTGAAATTCAAGACTACATGCGTGGTAACATAGCTCTACTCCATGTCCGCCGCCCATGTCTTACTTATATGCGCTGTCATCTAGGAGCCCAAACTAGTCGGGACTCATCACTACCTGCACAAAGGCTGGCTGCCCGAAGTCATTGTATAGAACGAATACGCCATTAAACACTATCGAAACTCTGCCCGCAAGTCAAGTAATGGACGCATCCCCAATTGGAATTCTCGAGCACAAAACTCGATTAGCAAGGGGTGAAAATGTAAGCTGGTATTCTGCCTTCTAATGAGTGCATCCTCTGATATCCGGCTAAATTCGATTTCTATTCTATGTATGTATAGGGAAATCGGTTAAGTAGTGGTTAATTTTTAAAAACGGACGGAGGTAGTGTAGTCGTGAAAAAAGTCGTATTGCCTGCATCGTCAGGGATCGCGTCCCGTATCGGTACCTGCGAGGCTAATCGGGCCTTCCACTTCTCCGCCATTGCGACATCGTAAAATGTGCGCCGTTTGCTCCACTCAGTTGACTGTATGGCCAAACACGCCTGCAAACGCCTAGGATTTTGAATAGAAGTCGAATAATATGGCGCATCCAGGAAGTGGAATTGATCAACGTCAAAAAGCATCACTCTATGTGCGTCACAATGCAACAATTTTGCATGGCTGAGCTTGAAAATTCCTTTTTTGTCACTAAATTTAGCTATTCATTCATCTACTCCCATCGTCGGGTTTTTTTTTACCCGATAACAGATGGGGCATTCCAGAAAAAGGCTATTAACGTCATTCAGATGACTCGTAGGGATAGCTCATGCATGAAATCCAACATGGGTCTGCCTACGAACAATAACGGATCAGCTCATGAGGCGTGAAAAACTTTTTTCGCAGTAGATGCTCGTTGTTTCTTTTCACCCACGTTCCCATTAATTTCTAAAATAAGTCTATAAATTCTCAGTAGGGAGAAGTACATTTCAATTTGGAATCATATGATCATCTGGAAGGCGGTTTTTTTTCTTTTTTTTTCTTTTTCCCATGCACTGATTAATGTTATATAAAAACTCCATGCCAAGAAAAAATCGCCCACGAGTCCTTTTGTGTAGGGAATTTTTTCCCTTTCGGGTTCTTTTACTTTAGATAAGTTTGCATTCCTTGCAACTCGGGGACTTACTGAATGAGACGAGGACAAGGAGAGTCGCGAATCGTCACCAGACCTCATTTCCAATGCGAACTGAATCGCGTTGGATTCAGTCTAGTGACGTAGAGATGAGGTACTAGACCTGCTGAGACCAAACCACTCCAAAAAGGCCCAAAGATGAATCACCAAGTTCCCGATATTGATCAGTTCCTTGTCGAGAATGCGCCCAAGCACTTTACCTTCCATTAGAATCGTAATCACGAATGTGCTCCCGAGGATCTGCTGATGTGACAGGCTCGAATGAGTGCCAACCCAAAGATCCGATGCTACTTCAACAAAGATGAGTAGCAGTTAAATACAATTCTAACTTCAATCATGAAACTAGAACGGTCAATCCATCAGAAGGGTGTGGACGATTCACTCCTTACGTATTTTCAAGAGTTACCTATCACATGCCTTCACCTGCAGCTGTTCATCGAGATCCTGCACTTTCTAGGAGTACAGAAACCTTTATTTTTATATAAGTCACCACAGCTACTGGGATGAAATTTGTACTGAATGATCTCTGGAGTGCACACTTGATGGCCAAGGGCTGGATCACCTGGATAATCCTTTCAGATCGTTTCTGTCCCCTTTTGATGACCCCGCCAACGTTTTCCGTTTTCGAAGGTTCAAAGCAAGTCACCCTATTAGAAACTGTGCTAAAGAATTCTAAGAGAAGAGACTGAGCAGCTTTCAACAAAAATGGTATAAGAAATCCTCTCAAGCCTAAGACGCTGAAAAACTGAATCACCAGGTCTTAGTGCTCCATCATCTTAATAAATAAACACATGGCTCTTAGCAACCGCTTTTTTAGGAATCAAAAAGCTCCTTAATGTAGAGGGGAAGGAAAAGAATCGAAGCCGAGCTCAGCTACTACCAAAAAAATTGATCAGTTTCAGCTGTTACCGAGAAAATGCCTTTTTAGGGGAATGACAGCAAAACGGCGATTTCTTTTCTCAAAGCAAACTATTGACGTGATTTCTAGAAGAAAAGCAACAAAACGGACCTGAAATGGTTGTGGAACTTAGGCCAAAAACTTTGATATTGGTGTTGAGACTTATGTACCTGATGTATGGAAATCATTTGAGGTTTCTGGGGATGATAAGAGACCCAGTCATACGTGAGAAAGACTTAAATGGAACCAGTTCAGTTGTGATTTGATTCTTTCATCGGGTAAACTAAACAAATGTTTTCCTCAAAAATTGATTAGACCTAGTTAGTTTTGTCATACTTGGTTCGACAGCTCGTCAAATTCATTTGTTTATTAATTGCTGTGGAGGTATGGCACTGAGTGACGTACTTGGTCCGCGGGTCTAATTCGGTCCTACATATGCCCACTCGGGCCTTTCATCCCCCAAGGTCGGGTAATTGGTACTAGTCTCGTCCGGGAGGGTAAAAGCGTCTACTTGTACAGAGGCTGACCAACGGAAGTCATTGTATAGCACGCATTCAATACGCCACACCGGTTTTGAAGGGAGGACTGATGCGTGGCGTATCCCAAAATTGGGATCCAACAAAGTTAAGAGAATTCACCATTCTTTTTTTATTATTTAGAGGGAAAATTCTACCCGGGGTAGGTCGTTGTGGAAAAGAGAGTTGGAGGTAGAAAGTGCAAATACAAGTCGTCCCAAAAGTGCACAATCCTAACATTACCCACGTAGGACTTTTTTGCTAGAGTGTAGCTTATTCTTGCCCACTCTAGCTTTACCGGAGTCTTCAAAGAACAACTGATTTCAAAACGAGGGAAAAAACAACAACAACATCATCATCACCAACCAGTAATCATGATTGCGAACACGATCGCGAGACCTAATTTGCCCAATATTTATGGCTAAAACTAGAAACTACAAGTACGAATAGGTGTATAGTCATCATTGAATGATGTCATCGCTGCGATGCGCCACAGTTCCACTCAGAGTTCATTCCTAACACCGTTCCCATTGAGGTGAACTCTTGTCGAACTGGTTCTGAATTGGGTATTTTACTCTTCGGGTTACCCAATCTGTGGCTGTGGTAGTAGTATGGCTTCCCCAGGGTGCCATAGACTTCCTACAGCACAGTAACCTATTCGTAGAATTTGTCAGCACTTCAGCTATCATATTTTACTTTCAAATATCACTTCTTATCATTGTTTCGAATGTCGAGAGAGTGTAACCATAACGGTGGAGAATTGTTGAATAGAAAGCTTAGGCTCAGGAAAAAATGTACTTCGCTGCTCTCTTTTCAAGGATTTCTTCTCGTTGATTCAGTGCTCGGTTTTTCTCTCTGAATCGTATTCGTTACGGCCGCCTCTTCATCCGTTACCATTTCCCTGCAGATTTCGCTTTGATAGGATGTTCTTTATCATTTTCTAATGAGCCTTCCGTCAGATGGCTTTTCATCAAATATCTACCGTAGTCGGGAACACCCACATGCGTATATACAAAAGCCCACAGTCATTGCTTTTGCTGCTCTACTCTAGTCGACCAACTATCATCCTCTGATTAAAAAACTCTGTTCTCTGGTTCTCGAGTTGATGCTTGGTGGGGTGAGCACTAGCTGATCTGCTAGAAGACGGGATGCTTCCGTGTGAGCAGGAGTGTTCAACTCCATTAACTGCCCCTTTTTGAGGTGTTCGGGTGAATTTTTCGGGAACTTAATAATCGTCAAATAAAGGGGGCCACCAGCAGTCTGCTAGCTTACAGCTATCTAAAAAGTTCAACGTACCAACTCACTTTATAGTTGGCGCTCCCTCTTATGATTCAACGCCGGATAACAATCTTTTTCAGGCGTTTTTCGATAACTTTGCCTTCGTGAATGTCTTACTATAAACAACTTATACACTTTTCATTGTCAATCATACTTTTTTCAGAATAATGCCTTCATCAGTTTTATTAGCCATCACATTCCTCGTTGTAGTATGCTCAGCTAAACATCGATACGTAAGTAACTTTCTATTACCACTTATTATCACTGGATTTTACTCAGCTCGAAGCAAAAACATTTCAGGATCGAAGCACACGAGAAAGCCTCACCGAATGGAGAACCACTGGTAAGTTCCATAATGGAATGATAATATTCTCTCAAAGATGACTAGTTGGGTCAAAAACAAACCCTGTGAATGCTCATACCCCCTGAAGAAGCCATTGAGAAGGCTCGGGGAAGTGGGGTGTCGGCAGTGCAAAGGATAACGAGCATTGCGCCAGAAAAGCCCAAGTACGGGTTCGAGCCTCGTTCGAGGCCGTAGTTTTGCCCACAACTCATCATCCTTGCGAGACCTTCGAATCCGTAGAGCGACGAAAAAACATCAGTCAACAAGAACATAAATCCAAAACACTCGAAGTGATTAATAGATAAACCTTTGGAAACAACGGCTCGAATGCCTCCTAAATTGACAGGCACACGAACGGACAATTTGCTTACCATTTTCCAGTTTGATGACAATGTGACAGTTTAAGAAACATTTGACCCGTTGTTTATGAATGTTTACCTGTTTATCACCTGTTTACTTGGCATATTGACCATGCATTAGTTGTTTTTTGGTACACAAAGCTCATAAAAACAGAAGATCTCCATAGACCTTCAGGCTAAATCGTTTTTAACTTCAATAAGTTTCAGAGTGTACCATGTTGAATGGGGAGCAGACTGAACCATGTCCGTCACCAGGTGCAAACGGAGATTGGCCATGTATACGGTGAGTTCAATGGGACGCAGAATGCAAAAGTTTTTCCACAACTGCAAGGTTTCTAAATTACGTAATTGCCAACGTCAATCTTTTGTTTGACATTTTTCTCTACTTCTGAATTTGCGTCAGCAGCTGACATTAATGGCTACTTGACTGTCTGCTAAGATCGCTTTTTTATTTTGTAGAAGTCATCCTTGGAATGTTTGTGACGCCAGGCAGAGCTTTGTGCTGTCGTGTGACATTTAGAAAAATCCGTAAAAAGGCGATTAGGCTTCGAATCAAGCATAAACACGAAGAGCCTAGAATGTGTAAATCGAGTTTAATGGTTACTGATCCTACCAGGACCATTTAATTTTACCTCTTAGGAAAGTGGGAAGCTTGAATTAAGTCGTAGTGCAAGAAAAGAAAGTCGTAAGTGGGTAGGATTGTAGAACACATTCGAAACGAAAATGTCCCATGGAATCGGAGCCAAATTTTAGGCCCTAACTTCTTGGGGCTAGGAAAGGTGAAAATTTCTGGCAGAAGGGGTTCTATCGTGCTCCGGAAACCATCTTGAATATGACATCCTTCCAATGACCGAAAGCTAGGAGGGAAAAGGGCCTCCAATAAAAAGTAACACTCGCAACCGCTTACGGCATGACTTCCAAAATTCTCAATTTACCTCTAATAAAGATCTTTAACTTCAGTCCTCGATTCAATGAATAAAGGCCTTTCTAAATCCTTTTAAAGCTCTATTTTGCTTTCCCAAAGTTATTTCATAATTACTTTTTTTCTAGTTTCAAAGTTTATATATTCAGGTATTCCGATCTTTGCAATGGGCTACGAGATTGCCCAAATGGCGAAGATGAGTCGCCAGTGCACTGCCACTTCCATCACTTGGTTAGCGAATTACAAATAATTTCACAAAAATATATAAAATTGCAATTAATCTCCTACAACTAGATTTAGTACCTCAAAAATCATTAGATCCAGATTAAAGACCCTCAGTTGACCAAGGACATAAAACTTTGAAAAAAATTAAATATATTGTGGGGTCGATTATGGAATGGGATTGTCACGAATTCGTTCTCGTCTAACGGTAGTGAAGCGAGGAAGCTGTTAAAGGATCAAATGAAGTAGTAGACAAAGAATTCCCCACTTCTCTATTTCCCCAGACAGACTTGGTGCCAAACAATGTCAGCAGAATGACGGAAACTTGGTTTCCTTGGAAGAGTTAACGAGATCTGGGTATGGAATTTGTGCATGGTTGTCCTACCACTTCGGCTCATGGGAAATGGGAGAGGATGGAAAAGCATTCAATCGTTGTGTGGGGACAACAAATGAAACGCAAGGAGTTTATAGAATAAGAGTCAGGGCGCTCGTAAAAGAACATTTATGTTGACCTGAATCCCAAATCTATTTTTCAAGTTCTTCATTCAACAAGAGCGAATTTTTTGGGGTAAAATTCAGTGACGGTTGTTCGTCCAGTTTTAGAATAGAAGGCACTTCCTCACGCATCGAAAAAGGGGAGTGATTCAGCCGATAGCTCAGTAAATTATTCGTTGCAAAACTAGCAGAACTAGAGCGGTAACCATGACTGCTTGGTGCAAAGGCATCGCACTCATCTCCAAGTTGAGCGGTTGAGTGTTCGATCCGGACGACGGCCTGGATTTTTGCGAGAAACCAAGAGACTACTCTGTCCTCTTGGCTAAATGTGGAAATGTTTACGGTCGAAAAACATCCAAGGTTGGTCTGTTAGCAGCAACAGGACCGTAAGCAAGACTGCTTCGTGCAATGGCATCGCGCTCAATTCATGTCCAAATGGTCGAGTGTTCGATCCGGTCGACGGTCTGGATTTTAGCGATCAGCTTCGAGGTATCATCAAGACGAATCATTCAACTGTTTGCCAACAACAAATGTTGAATGTAGAAATTCTGCTTTACCTTGGCTGTGATCATGTGTGCATGGTGCATTGGTATCGCTTCCACCGCGAAATCTAGACGTTGAGGATCGGTCCCCACTGTGGGAAAGAGTTTTGCAAACAACAGGGAGACTTCTCTTTTCTGCGGATAAATCACAGAACCACTTGCAACCACTAAATGTCAAACATTAAAAAAAACTTTGCTGTGGTGTCGCCATCAGCTCCGAATCTCATTATTGGAGCGCAGCCCCATCAGCCGTCTGGATTCCTGTGAACCTCCTAATGACGGTTCCTCTCCCATCTGCCCTCTATCCAAATCCCCTTACTTGATTTTTGGGGCCATGGACATCGATTTCTTCCCCTCCGATATATCGCGATTGCTCAAGTTTGATTCGATAACGGTGTTGTCGAGTAGACCACCCTCTGGTACATAGTGATGTTAACCGACTCCTGCTCTCCACCCTTGGCCGCTCGTCAAATGTTGTTGTCAGTATAGGCGAAGAGTCGTTTGCAAAAACCGTGTTAGCTGGGAGGTTTGAACCCCTAACCACTCAATTTGAAGTTCGGAGCGCTGACACTGAGCCAAATCAGTCGTTGTTTGCGAGTGATTGTTCCCACATGTATATCACCTGGAATTTTACGGCGAGGAAGAATAACATTCTATTGTTAGTGGAAAATTGTTCTTAGAAATGTCAAAGGGTTTATCGAAGAACCGAACTGTTCTGAACGTTGGAGCTTCGAGCCTCGTGGAAGTGGGCATTTGGGCATAAAAGTCTGTTGTGGATTGTGGCAGACAAACTAATCAAACGCGTGGTCCTCGCGACATTGGAACCGTCGTCCCAGATGCATGGGTTACTGCATATGTCAATGCTCCAAGTTTTCAATTGGGAGAGCATCCATTGAAGTCCTTTTCGAAAGGTGGACACGAGTTTATTGCACGCTCCCCTGTGGGAACCGTCATATTACTGTAGTATGCAGTGCTGCAGTCGTCCTGGTTTAGCGCCAGCGCCATACTACGCCTCCTTGCTGGTGCCATTCTCAGACCATCAAAGTCGTTATAATGATACGCCGATTGATTATCGAACTTCGATATCACTGATGTCTATTTGGCGCCAGAACCATTTGGCGCTGCGCCAACCGGAAGTTAGACGGCGCCAAACGGGCACTGGCGTCAAAGAACGAGCATAACTGTGATGAGATCAATCGATTACCTCTGATAATGATGCCCTCATATTGATAACGCACTCGTAAGTGAACTGATTGCTGGCCCCAACTTGACGTCAGACTTTTCTGGGGAACGGTTCCACACGAATAAAGCCCATCTCTAGTCGAGCAAATGACTTACGATACTTCCCATGGTCACTACTGCGTTCAGAGTCCTCATGGAGTCGACATCTGGAACACCTTCCGTCATCGAGGGCGTTGAAACCTTCAAAGGTCCAAGATCATTGAAGGAACAGCCAGTCGAACTACCTTCATCCCAACGCCGTCAATTTCGATTCCGAATTTTCTATGATATGATAGGATCACGATAAGTCTCTGTCGCGTGCTCCCAATTACTGGGAATGGTGTTACGTCAGTTCCGTATGGGTACAGCTGGCGAAAAGCGGTTTATCATTCCTTGGACGATGGCAGGCTGGTATCATTGGCTCAGCCGGGGATCTCTTACACATTATCCGTCTGACCACTGATTGCTCTGAGGGGTTAGTATAAAGCACTATCATCCGAGATTGATTCCTTGTTCGGATGCATGTGGCGACTAGAGCATCGGAAGCAAGATAATTCCCATATGTTGAACGGGACTGTTCTAGAGGCTCAGCAATTGCTTGGGAAGCAGTTTTCAGGTTTTTTTTCAACGCTCCGAGTTTTCAACGATCTTTCTTCCCTAGATGGGACAGATGCATTTGGGGGTGTCGCACCAGTCGCACCGACCACCCAAGCTCAATAACAAGGTTTGGTTTGCCCAGCCAAATTTTCATCAGGGGTTCAATCCTCGCCTCTAGAGTATGGTAACGGTGATTACCGCGTGATCCTGTTCAACTTCTTTACCCCACCCTTCTCACCTATGCATAAATGATAGTAAAAAAAAANAAAAAAAAAGAGATATAAATAGGTGGTGATAAATCTAGATAAAAAAAGATAAATCAAGATATTTCACAAATAATAATGCATTTCTGTGGCAAATCCTATCTTACTGAGATTTATCTATACTTCTTTCAGCACCGAGCTGAATTGGATTCTATCCGAGAAAAACTCCATCGATTGAATGTTGCACTGAATCGTCGGACATCAACGACAACAGCTTTATAGAAGGCGTTCTAATAAAAATATAATATTTTGATTGGCACATTTATTTTGTTCATAATTATCGCTTATTCTTAGTGGGCCCTCTTTATTTGAGAGCCCGATCATTGAATCCATGATGACTTTGCAATCTATTTTCAACCATACCACAGCATATCCACTTTTTTATGTGATGATTGATTGATATTTTGATTGATTCTACTCAATGATAACTGGTGATGTCTGATGATCTCGATCTGTTGACATTAATAATGTCTTCGATATCATATACTATGTTAACAATATCAAAATAAAAACAATAAAGAGTTTATTCCAATACAATACAATGCAACCCGTAATTTTTCTTATTATTACAATATTATGTGTACAAATCAGAGATCTTCTGTAGCTTGTATGGCACAACAATATGGCACAGATGACATTAAATTCCGTGAAATTGATCAGTCGTGGATTACTCAAAACTCAATAATTACTCTTTACTCGAAGTCTCGAGAAACCTCAGTTTTTACATCGATAACTAATCTACCGAGAAGAATCTTAGATTCCAATGAATTCGGGAGGAAATGCTACATTCTCAGGAGAAAAATCCTGTCTGGAAATGAAGTAGCCGTCAAGACAGTCAATAGTCAATTACCACCACAGACGGAAAAGATCGATTTGGAAATGACGGAAACAACTGCCATATCGGGTTACTGGGTGAATAGAGACATCACAAAAAGGCGACAATTCGGATGACTCAACTTTCTCACATAAAGTTCGATTATACCCTAAATAAAAGTCTCAAGTGGCCGATCAGAAGGTTCCAAAGGTTCAAATCGGTACTGTCTGCTAATGAGATCGAAATCCTACCAGCAAAAAGTGTCAAGCTTAACGAGGAAGAGAAGCTGGTGTGGTAGGCCTGATCTGCACATAGCGAGCGGCGATTTCTAGCTCAATGACTCGCCGCGCGGTGATTCTTGACTAGTTGTCTCGCTGCGCGGCGATTCTTTGCTAGTTGACTCGTAGGAGATGATGGAAATTTTGAGATTGTCCGCGGTCTTCTGCCTATTCCTATAAATTTTCGCTGTCAGCTTCTACATGACCTCACTATTGGATCACTCTCGAGCCATAAGCCGGCTATTCGCTAGCGGCATTCGCATTTTTGGGTACGATGAAGGAGTCGTCGAATGGTCGCCCGGAAATTCTTATTTAGGCACATGTAGATCACTGGATTGAAACATGAATGAGTATATCCAAGCCATGATGTCATCACATAGAGTTGTAGATGTACATGAATATTAATATGCATCGAAAATCCCATAGCGATACCTCGAACCACACTGACACAGAAGTACGGTATCCAACAGATCAGGAATGCAACTGAAACTCGAAATGGTCAATTCGCCGCTTCAACTGCCAACATTTCTCTATCTATTTGTTTAACGGTTACTTGTGAACATGAAAGGAACCCCGGGAAATTGGTCTTCCCTATTCTTTGAAAAAAATAGTTCATTTATTTGTTATCGCTGCGGCTTCGATAGCACTAGCATCACAGTTCGCGGTGCAAAACGCCGCACGGCTGGACTCGGGCGAAACTCGATTCCTTGGAGCCAAAGAACTAGCATACTCGTGATAAGGGCCACTGATCACTTGTGATAAAGGTAAAACTATGACAAATTTGATTGGGTAGAATGGAGTCTTCAATTGGGCATCCTTCACTGAAGTGTTGAAGACTTCCTGTTTACCCGAGGCGGTGACACTTCCCACGTTGAGCCCGAATCTGGTCAGAAGACTTTACACGATCGGTCATACGTAGTTAGCCCTCGGAACACTTATTGATGCGAGGGGTTCAAAGATAATGAGTATTTTATCGGATAAGCTTCGGGTTCATTTTGCAAGCATATCAAGGGCCTCGATTAGAAAATAAGGGTACTTCTCAAGCCCGTTGATCAGTCTTCACTGAATTCCGTTAATCCTCCCTCTTCTCATCCCCTGCCCACTTACAACCTTTTTTCCCCATAAATTATAAAATACCATAGAAATACCATGGAAAAAGGTTCTGTTGGTCAACTTTCCGTTGCAAGAATCTAAGCAAACACCAACGCGTCATACCACTTCCTCGACATGAAATCGGACCTTATGCTCTACCTCGATTTTGAATTTTATATAATGTTAACAACTTTTGCATGTAATAAAATGCAATGAACTCACTGAGAATAGCAGCCACTACCCGCGTAGCCCGTGATTCACGACGAATTGCCAACGATTCGCGCCGTTTTCGTCGGATCGCTCGAGTCACCTTAAGTATAAACCGTTTGGTAACAAAGGAAACAATGTTGTAAAAGGCATTTATTGGGAATATTAGTTATCATGCTGGCGAAGAGAGAGAGAAGTGCGAAAAAGTGGGAGGGCATAGCTTTAACCCTATAGCTGATCAGGTACCACTTAAGTGGGTAACTACTTGGGTAATTTGAAAGCAATGTACACGATAGGTAGAAACCATCCTAGAGTGCAGTTGGCAACTGTCTTGGTCCCACTAATGAGTCCGCTTTGGGCGAAGACTACTGCCAACTAAATGAGGTGGCCATCCGGAAGATGCCCAATGCCATTGACTTTGTCATTCAGCTTCAGCAGATTGATTGGATGATTTTTTTTGTCCCACCATGAAATTTTGAAAAAAAAAACGAATCAATTTACCTGTGTAGCAATCCTCCTGAGCTTCCCACGACTGATAGAGGACGCTTTCTTTGAGGGTGTGCCATTTGAACCGTCGACATTGATATCCACAGTCGCTTTTCGACCACTTCCTCCTACTTCTAACACGGCGTTACGAATGGTAGACCATGCGGATGAACGCCTAAATTGTTCTACTTGAATTCGAGCTTTCATTCGTAACACAGGATGCTTTTTTGATAGTTTTTGAGGTATGTCAGACGGTGAAAATGGGCTGAAACCCTTGCCATTATAGTAGTCGAGGTCCTATACTGGTGCAAGAGATGTACGCTGAGGAAGGCATTCAGTAAGCGTGCATGGCTTCAGTTTAACAAGTATTCTGTTAGTCATTTATGAGTAAGAACACATCGCGAATCGGTTTTTTCGTTGCTCACTCTACTCACGTTAAGTGGGAACGATCAGATGTTCTCAGTGGGAAGACGCTAGGCGCATAAAGTGTGATCGCGGAGCCCGATGACTGCTCCAAGTATGTACGTTCAGTAGTTAAGATAACCCTGAATGGTCTTCCGGGAGCAGCGTGGCGTCGCGAGATTTGTACCTGAGCATTTATTTCCAGTTGAGAGCGGAGTTGTTGCACAGCAAGTGGTTTACCTACAAATGAAACCCGAGCGCCACAGTTTACTAGGAAAATGCCAATACTGGGTACATAGTAGCATAGAATTCATCACCGGAATATGATTTATTATAGTTGCCTGATCTTGGTTGAAGCCTCATTACACTCCAAAGACATACCTTGAATCGATTTCAAATGTCGAATCGGTGTTGTCAGTCAGACTGCTGCCGTAGCTGTTCATTGAGATACGACGGAATGTGTCACCACTGCTGTCGGCCGAGGTGTAGGACGAATGGCTGCTGTTTGACGGTACAGAACATGGCGATGGACAGTCAAAGAGGCTCGGGACCTGTAATCAAGAGCACTAGGAACTGTAACATTCGATGGNGTGTTGTCAGTCAGACTGCTGCCGTAGCTGTTCATTGAGATACGACGGAATGTGTCACCACTGCTGTCGGCTGAGGTGTAGGACGAGTGGCTACTGTTCGACGGTACAGAACATGGCGATGGACAGTCAAAGAGGCTCGGGACCTGTAATCAAGAGCACTAGGAACTGTAACATTCGATGGCTTTGATATATTCAGAATGGGCCAAAGTTATCTCTTCAACAACTACTTCATTCGCTTGGTTACACGCTGAATCGATTTGTTTCTCTTCCTGTCTGATCGTTCCTGATCTTCATGTCGGATTTGGGGAGTGACAATTCGTAGCCTTCCAACAAAGTTCTGTGTCTTGTTTTCATTGCAAAACTGAGTTATTTTTAACTGAATGGAATGCTTTTATCGAAACTCCACTCCTTTTACTCGTACATTCAACCATTCAGCTGGACCCCTTTACTACTGCTCGAACTCAATATTTTTTACCAACAGGTCACCGGAACAACTCAAAAAACGCTATCTGATTCGAGAAACTTCACCAAATAAGCTATCAAAATTGTGTTCAACCACAAAAAGTATGTATTCAGAGTATAGCGCAACTTCCCCGTCCTCGGCTCAGTTTATTTCTATAACTAATTACCAACCAAAAGTTATAGGTGAGCGCTCCTGTAGTTTTCCTCATTTAGGGACAAATTTTGTACCTTTAATGTGCAGTTGGTATTGTTCTCACGAATGTTCGGTGATTGAGGCGGGGTGTTGATTGACATCATTGCCGGTACCATAAGAAAGGTAGGAGGTGGCATACATTGGAGAGGCCTGAAATATGACATTCCAGCGGAAAATCGGTCGAGAACTCCATGAATCGATAACAAACTTCTTTTGCTTGTGATAGCATGGCACCGAGAGCAGCGGTTTCTGAATAGGTTCAGCCGCGACTGGCTCATCGTGGAAATCCTTTGCCTCAAGCGGTGTCACCTGAATGATTATCTATATTACTTATTTAATGCTTACTTTCAGAAATTTTTTACATATTTTCCTATTTACTTCTATGACTTTGGTTAGTTTTCTTTAGTTTTTCACTTATGCATTCGTCCGAGTGCATGACTACGTAGTAGAACAATTTACAAACAACCAAAACAATGGCGCTTGGGGACGTTTCTCACCCAGCAGATCTAGTTTTTCTCGAGTCTGAACCTTAGCGGAGAAGGAGTACCGGGGTGGACGAGCCAACTGATCGTTCAATTCTCACCCGATCCCAGCTTTTTGCTCGATGTAACTCACCCACCAAGGCACTCCTCCTGGGACCTAGGTGAAAAGTTACTCCTCTGCCCAAAAACCGTATATATCCATTTTCCAAGTCCGCAAACCCTCCCTGTGCTTTCAGCGAAGACGTAACCACTCATCTCAATCTATTTTTGTCTATCCAAACTCTGAATAAGGCTTGCTAGATTTTTGGTTTTTCTATCTGCACAATTCAAATTTCTAAGTTTTTCTACTCAGTTCTATTTATTTTTATTTAATCAATGCGCCATTCCAGAGATACTGCTTGCTGCAACCTTCGTTATTTTCGATATTACGACTCACCTTTAGATTTTTTCAGATTTTCAAATAATTTGATTTTTCTGAAGCAAATCTCCAAATATACCTTCAAAGAATTGATAGTTGTCTCTGTCAGTGTGCTTTCAACAGCCGAATTTTCCGATATCGAACTTTCGTTGTCGCAAACTGGGCTCAGATGTGTTCGTGTACAATTATTGAGAGCTGAAAAAAGCCGCATCGTAGTTTTTTGAATTTTGAAGTTGGAAGAGTAAAAACTTTGGTTTAATCAGATGAGAATTGGCTTTTCTTTCGAAAGACTGCCAGTAAAAAGTCGGATGACTTACAAAATTCAAAATCTTGAACGGATCTGCGTCGGCCACAGCGGACTTCTTGGTAAGCCTGAATAAAATTTTGTTAAGATGCTCATTCAAATGCCAGTATAACTCTGAGATCAAGTCGAATGTAAGGCTCTTTCGAAAGCACGGTTTAGAATACCTTTTGGAATGCCTGCATTATCGGTATACCATTCGGATTCTCTTGAGTACTCCGCCGTCGTCGATCAAGAACCTTCCGCTTTCGTTCTTCGCTCAGTTTCCGAACCTCAGCTTCACTTTTCTTTTGTAATGGATCTTCTTCGTCATGTAACTCTTCCTCACGACGTCTTAACATGGAAAGGTTCGCTTGATTTGGGTCGTGAATCAATAGTTCGCTAATAAAAAACATTATTGATAAATAATAAATAAGTCTGTGTTCCGACAACGTGGTTAACCAGTTTCGCTCAAAGTAGAGGAGAGATCAGAGGGGAATAGAAAAGGTGCAGTGAATTACTACTTTACCAAGATTTTTCTTGGACACGATAACCAGGTAAGTGGTGAAATTGATGAAAAAAGTTCAGATATCTGTGACTTTTCGGATTTTTATCCGAATCCTTACTATATATAAACCACATCCTTGGTGTGTCTGTTTGTTTGTCTGTTTGTTTGTCTGTTTGTCGTCGCAAATTTCAGTATCATCTGAAGAAACACCTGGAGAAGTCGGGTCAAGTTTGGAATGGGTTGAGCATAGGGTAAGTGCAACAGAACACATGTGAGCCTAGCGGAGCTCCGCCCCCAAGGGGCAGGGCATGCGCCGGAATTGGGCGGGGTCATGGGCTAATTCTTCTCATTCGGTCTCATAACAGTCCAGATGCCGGGAAAAAACGTGCAAAGGTGAGGGATGGGTCAATAACTAAAACAAAGAAAACTTATCGGCGGTGGGCGGAGCGTTCTCGCAGTGGGTGGTGCTTTTCACAGAGATTCATAACTCGATTCAACGAAGGCGTCGAGGCCAGGAAAATAATAAAAAGGGTGGGCAAGGCCTCATGCGTGCTGGGCATGCGTAAGCTTAGCGAAGCCCCGCCCACAATGGGCGGGGCGTGCGTTAAGGTGAAAGCTACTTTATAAAAACCAGAAGTGGGCGGGGTTGGCACCAAAGTGGGCGGGGCTTAGATCAAAAATTTATAACTCTATTCAGAAACGTTTTGGGATGCG